GAATGCTAGGACAATGACTTTAACACTTGGTGGAAAAATCGATGGTTTAGATTTCATGGTGATTCGATAAACAAAGTAGACTTTGTGTCCTGCAGGGCGTTTGAGGATGAAGGAAAGGCTCGTTTGGGAGTGGTGGAGTGTGCCAAACATGAGCTTCTGCAGCCTTTTAGTGTGCTGAATGAGAAAGAAGGTCAGTTTCATTACCATTGCGGCATTTCTTCTTTCTTTACCTGGTAAATCTGTCTTTTTCACCTGTTTCTGTCTTTAGGTGAATTTGTGGCTCAGTTTAAGTTCACAGTGCTGCTGATGGCCAATGGGCCCTTGAGAATCACCAGTGGACCATTTGAAGAGGAACTCTACAAGTCTGAATATGATGTTCAGGATCCTGAACTGAAGGTATGTTTAGACCCATCTATTCTATTTAAATTGGCTATAAATGAAGGTTTTTCCTACCATGATGTCTTGGTTTCTTCTGTCATTTTCAGTCTCTGATCCAGAGTTCTGCAAGTCGCAAAGCACAGAAGAAGAAGAAGAAAAAGAAGGTGAGGCCTTTGCTTTAAGAGGGAACAATCCTCATGTTGTTCCCAAACAAAAAACGCTAAATGAGAAGCTCAATAGAATGAAACAAGAAGAAAGAAGCTTTTAAGCCATTAGAAAGATGGCAATCTCGATTTCTGTACAGATCATTTGCACTCCTGTAAGAAACTAGGTTCAACAGAAATTTCTTACATTTTTAGTTTGTGTTTCCCACATCACTATTATATGGCTTCAGATAATGGAATATGGCATGCAGGTTCTATGGATTAAAGCCTGTTCACACCAAGAATGATAAATGTATTGCATCCATACTAACATTCTGTTTATCATAAGCATCCCTGCAGTTATGTCATCTGCATCTTTAAATGCTCAAGCAGGATGCATTCTGATTGGCTGTCAGTGTGTTTATTATTCATCAGCTGGTAAAAATCATTCTGAATGTGTTTTAAAATATCATTCCTCTGTGTCGTTATTGTTATAGTTGTGGTATGGACTTCCTATTCTCATAGATTGTTTCATTATAGTTTTACGATGCTTATATTGTTATAGTTATCATCCTTGGTGTGAACAGGCCTTCAGACTTATGGTGCTTTGGTCATTTTGGAGCTTGACTGTCCACATTCATTCTAATTATATGAAAAACCGTCATCGTCAGCCTGCACAAAGGCATGACAGCCATGCAGGTTTTTATGGGTGCATTTTAACTTTTTAAACTGTCATGGAATTCTGGTTATTTTGCATAATTGAGTACCATCAGTCAGTACTCTTCATTCATGTGTCTTTCTGATGTCTTTTGCTATAGGCCTCCAAAACTGCAGAGACCGCTACAGGCCAACCAGCTGAGAATGAAGTTGCAGCTAAATAGATGCGACTCAACTCCATCCTCTCCCGAAAACGTCAGCATTTCACTCTCGCCCTACTGTTTATCCTCATCAGATTTGATCAAGAGTCACTGTTGAAGCCTGTGTTTAAGCGTTTCTGCCTCCCCCTGTTACGGAGAAATGTCATTTAGATTTGGACTATAAGCGAGTTCAAACAAATTTGTACTTTCATAATGAATCTATTAACTCTTTTGAAGCACTCGATTTACATTTCAACTGGAACGCAATGCCTTTTTCAAAATGTAATTAAAAAAGCTTCGCAATTCTTTTGTAGAGTTGCGTTTTTCACAACATGTACTGGTGACTGTTTTGAAATGCTTCATGTGGCCCAAAGCTTCGTTTGAAACGGCATTACATTAGATTAAGTGGTTTGGGAACGAAACAAATTCGATTTGCAGCTATTTCTCAGGGTTCTGAAGAAAAACATCTCTCTTATCTGAGAAGTAGTTTTGTACAATTAGGGTGGAGAATTTGATGTCTTACAGGGGCATTAGAATTGGAATCCAGTGTATAGAATTCCTAAGCACTCACACAAGGGGAAGATTAAGTCTTTTTCTCTTAACTGCCATCCCTTTCCACAAGTGTCACATTTGAAGATGACATTAGGGAATGTATTGGTCATACTTTATTCCTGCCCATTTTCTTTTTTCCCCCTCCACATTTTAATGTCTAATTATCTTTTGTCGATGCAGGGAGATTTTCCAAACACATTTTAAATTGTAATAATCCAAGTTAATATTAGAAACTGGTTTATTGGTTAAAGTTCTGGTCCAAGATACACTAAAGCTACTTCAACCCACTGAAAAAGGTTATAACTTCCACTTGCCAAGGGCCAACATATGATCACTTAATCTACAAGCAATAGAGTGTCTGTTTGACTGGATATACAGCTCAAAACTAGGCTCGGATTGGATTGAGAAGCTTCGCCAGTGTCATTTTACAATCCAGTCAGTGCAGTTATTTCAGGAGAGGTGATGGGAAGTGGCTCTAGAGCATTTCTGGATCAGTCCTATTATTTGGGACGTAGTTGATGCTGGTTCAATACATCTTTTGAAATGATTGTGACTTTTGTTCTGTTTCCAGATTGTAAAGGTGTATGTGGCAAAGGAGGCTGGAGGTTTGGATTTTGTAGTACGAACCATCATATGGAACTATTTTACAACTAATGAAATAAAACATAAGTTTGACTATACTTTCTTGGCATTACATTAGATTAAGGGGTTTGGGAACGAAACAAATTCGATTTGCAGCTATTTCTCAGGGTTCTGAAGAAAAACATCTCTCTTATCTGAGAAGTAGTTTTGTACAATTAGGGTGGAGAATTTGATGTCTTACAGGGGCATTAGAATTGGAATCCAGTGTATAGAATTCCTAAGCACTCACACAAGGGGAAGATTAAGTTAACTTAAGATTAACTCACACTTTTTCTCTTAACTGCCATCCCTTTCCACAAGTGTCACATTTGAAGATGACATTAGGGAATGTATTGGTCATACTTTATTCCTGCCCATTTTCTTTTTTCCCCCTCCACATTTTAATGTCTAATTATCTTTTGTCGATGCAGGGAGATTTTCCAAACACATTTTAAGTTGTAATAATTCAAGTTAATATTAGAAACTGGTTTATTGGTTAAAGTTCTGGTCCAAGATACACTAAAGCTACTTCAACCCACTGAAAAAGGTTATAACTTCCACTTGCCAAGGGCCAACATATGATCACTTAATCTACAAGCAATAGAGTGTCTGTTTGACTGGATATACAGCTCAAAACTAGGCTCGGATTGGATTGAGAAGCTTCGCCAGTGTCATTTTACAATCCAGTCAGTGCAGTTATTTCAGGAGAGGTGATGGGAAGTGGCTCTAGAGCATTTCTGGATCAGTCCTATTATTTGGGACGTAGTTGATGCTGGTTCAATACATCTTTTGAAATGATTGTGACTTTTGTTCTGTTTCCAGATTGTAAAGGTGTATGTGGCAAAGGAGGCTGGAGGTTTGGATTTTGTAGTACGAACCATCATATGGAACTATTTTACAACTAATGAAATAAAACATAAGTTTGACTATACTTTCTTTAAGATTGGCATCGTCAATTGTACAAATGCACACACTTTATGCCAAGCCTTTGTATAGTTTGTGCACTAGGGTTGTGTAATCTGAGTTCTATGCTAGTTATGAATAAGTCATTTAGACGCTATTACATTTGTAATAGCTCTGAGAAAATAACAGGAACTTTTTGAAGGTTTTGTGTCGATGTACTGTTTATAAACCAGATAATTATACGTCTAGCGCTTTATTTCTGTCTCCAGTAGGGAGAAGTTTGAAATCCTTTGAATGCTAAAGTAGGTTTTTTAATATATGACAACAGATGGAGCTGTGCGGCCCAGACTATCAAATCCATGTTGAAGTTCATTCAGATGCGTGATCCAAGTCTTCCAGTTTACTAGAGACTGAAACATGTTATTATTCAAATCGATAAACGCCAAAGACCAGACACAATCGTCCACGACAATACTTAAAACTAGCAATAGCTAAAATGTCTAATTCCGCAACCACTTACCTGTGACAAGACAGGTATACATGAACTTAGTTACAAATAAAAGTTTAGTAAAGGAAATTGTTTTATCCATTTAATCATTTACCCTGATATGCTAGAGATTTCGGATTTTTTTTTTAAACGAATCATAGGAGTCGGATCTTTTCGCTGATTCTGTACAAGTTCCGAAACGACAGCAAGTGGAGAAAGGTTTCAATGTACTGTACTCGAAATATATCCACAGCTTGATCTTACTAGTTTAGTTTTATCAGCACACATACAAAACAGATACAAATAAATAAATAAATAACCTAAAAAAGCTGAGTATGTTAAAATGGGATGCCAGGGTGTTGCTGAATCGTTTAAAAACAGTTCTCTGAAACGAACCGTTCGAAAGAATCGACTCGGAAATGAGTCTGAATGAGGTTGTAAACGTCAAGATAGCTAGATTTTCTATGCGTCACCGTTTCATACTTATAATTTACTATTAAATATATTTGGTAGCTATTATTTTTTATTATTATTTCGCCTATTATTTAACATTATTTCCGCTTTTATACATGCTAATTTTAATTCATAATTTTGAATATTGTTCAGTTCGTGTATCTATTAAAAAGATACACTGCCCTATTTTGGTCATTATTTCACGCTCGCGGCCTTGCAACCAACGTATTTCTATGGATGCAGCTCCCGCTAGACAGAAGAAAGCTTGCATGAACAATCACTTTTTGCTGGGGGGGGGGGGGGGAAATCCTTTGAATGCTAAAGTAGGTTTTTTTATATATGACAACAGATGGAGCTGTGCGGCCCAGACTATCAAATCCATGTTGAAGTTCATTCAGTTGCGTGATCCAAGTCTTCCAGTTTACTAGAGACTGAAACATGTTATTATTCAAATCGATAAACGCCAAAGACCAGACACAATCGTCCACGGGGGGGGGGGTTATGATAACAAACCAATAGCTCGTGGTCAAGGCCCGTTACAATCCAATCCCCGATCCGTAAGGAGCCGGTGGGCGTGACCGGAGGGCGACGGAGAGGCGGGCGCAAGAGAGCGCGATGCTGAGTTCGGTTGAGGAGTTCAGAGAAGAGGAGCAGGGCTGCGGACGGTGGCATCAGTGCAAAGGGGCGAAACAAGGGAATATTTGGCCGACTTTCAAAAGAGCTGGATTATAAAAACTGGACGCGCTGGATAGCAGCTCATTCATCTCTTCGTGCACGTACCGTGAGGTCTCATCGCTGACAGCCCGTGTGGTAAGTTCATGCGTCTTTTCATTTTGGCCCGTTTATCCTCCGTTGCCGTATAACGGATTATTTTTCGCATTAACGTTACTTTTCAAGCAGCGGGGAGAGCTAGCGCTTAGCCCACGTTAGCGAGTTTGTTATTGCGGTTCTTTTAAGCAGATAAATACATTTCCAAATTGAACAATCCTTTTCCTTTGGGCAGCCCCGAGCACCGTATGTCGGCTAATGCACTTATAAATCGTTTGTCCGCCTCGCCACGGGCCATATAACGGGAGATGGTGATGAGGAGGAGTCGCGTGCAGCTCCCGGTTTGCAGGCGCGAACTTCAGCTCGTGTTATCTCAGTTAACGGCCACCTCGTCGCTTTATTTGTATACGTACTAATGTGGCATATTTGTTGGTAATAATTTCAAATTATTTTTTGAGACCGTGACCGTTAGAAGGGTGTTTTTGAGGTGGTTTATCATTGAATGAATTTTTGAAGGACTGTCCGGCCCCGCTTCAGTTGAACGTTACCGGGATTCATCACGCGTATAATGGCTCTCATCTGTGAAATAACAGACATGACCCATTTTTGTGCCTTATTTTAGCCTTATTTTTTTCTCTCTGTGAAAATTACAGTAACTCTTAGTCCAGTTGTAGGCCAGAGTAAACCGAGACCATCTGGCTCTTGCTGTTATCGGGTTGTTTTTTTGCTAATGCGACTGTGAAAGGCCACTGGAGGTGATGCATATTAAACTTACATTAACTAGTATGTGTAAACTGATTTAGACAATGTTTTATATGCAGCTGATTCATGACAGTATGAACTTTCTCTAGCTGCATGTTCCAAAAATGCAGTATTTGACGAATGTTAACTAATAGTGAACTGGTAAGGTGTGAGAGATAAATCCACACAGTAGTTTAAAGGGGTCATATGATGCGATTTCAAGTTTTCCTTTCTCTTTGGAGTGTTACAAGCTGATTGTGCATAGATAAGATCCATCTTATGAATGTATGCCAGAAAAACTACTACAGCTGTTTTATTTTTACAATAAGGACTGGTTTAAAATGTTAACCATAGATGAAGTGAATGCTGCATAGTATTTGCAAATTGAATGTTCTCGGCTATATCCATGTAAAACCAATGAAATATTGACCCTTTATACTCCTATGCCACGGCTGTGTCATATCGCATACATTTGAAGTGAATCTCTGCTCTTCCATCACTAACTCTCTCGAACTCTTTTTCCAGGTGGCCTATTTTTAGTTCCTCATGCCGGAGATGGCGCAGCGGAGCGGGCAAGAGGACCCCGAGCGGTACCTCTTTGTGGATCGGGCCATGGTCTACAACCCAGCTAACCAGGCAGACTGGACGGCCAAGAAGCTGGTGTGGGTTCCTTCTGAACGGCATGGGTTCGAGGCGGCCAGCATCCGAGAGGAACGTGGAGAGGAGGTGCTCGTTGAGCTGGCTGAAAATGGCAAGAAGGCCCTGGTGAACAAAGATGACATCCAGAAGATGAACCCGCCCAAGTTCAGCAAAGTGGAGGATATGGCAGAACTCACCTGCCTGAATGAAGCATCTGTTTTACACAACTTGAAAGATCGCTACTACTCTGGGCTCATATATGTAAGTGTGATGATGATAATCCATTTGCTTTCAAGTTGCAGACTTTTCTACCTTGGTTTTTGCAGGTTTACGTTGGGAGTAGGGCTGCAACTAATGATTATTTTGATCATTGATTGATCTGATGATGTTCCTTGTTAATTTCGGTGAAAAGTCAACTTTTATTTTCTGCATTTTGTTTCTGCAAACAAAGAGAGTGTGAAGCAAGCTGTTTGGAGGTGTAGCCCCATCATTTCCTCCATTCCCCAAGTGTGAAGGAGCTGCTATGAAGTTATTATGAAATCTCCATGAGAGCAGCCACTTGTCTTCACACTTCTGTTGATATTACCACCCAGTTACATCCTTTAAAACACTGGATGGAATTTATCCAGTTTAACTTTTCATTTCCCAACATTGAAAGCTTTTCTAGGTTGTCGGTAACAGAGATCATCTCGATTGGCTGCACTTCAGGCGTTATGAAAGCGGGCGCTGTTGTCATTTTACACAATGATGAGAGGGTGCAGACCACTCTCCCACACCCACTTAGTGGAAAACAGTCAGGCTGGATTGTAAGGCTAGTTCCCTGCATTTTTTGGTTTTTAAGCCTCTGTTCCATGTGGTTGCTGTGCTCCCATCTTATAGGCTACAGTAATTAGCTGTAGAGGCCCATGCTTGGCCTAGTAAAACCTGAAGTTTTATAACAGGACCTTTGTGTTTTGCATCGAGCTGCAGCTGGCTTGTAATATCTGTGAGATGTCAAGATGTCAGATTGATTGTTGATAGCACCTGCATTTCTCAAATTTCTCAGCTTCCTTATTACTGTCGGCTAATGTTTATGTTTGAAGAAATGTAGCCCACAAAATGGAAGCATAATGTTATATATTTACTTAAAGGTTGTATATTCTTTCCTGTGCGTGGCTGGTGTGTGGTATGTGCTCTCATATCTGCTGTGTGGGCAGAGCCGTGGAGTTGCTGCGTTTCTCTCTGCCTACCCACGCCCCTCTGTTCTTGAATAGCATGATTGGTTGATGACACGTTAGACTTGATTTCTCTTTATGGGTTTGTTTAAACAAATATTTTCCAGTTCTATATATTCATCATAAAATGTTTTTTTTTCTTTGGTTTTAAAACTTTTTTTTTTTGAGCTTGTAATTTTTAATTGAAAAACCACACCTTGATCTTTCAGCGAAATGTCAGACTTCTTTCTTTTTGGTGTCGTATGCTGAACTTATGCTTTCATTTCTTCTGCTTAAACCCAGCTCCTATCTTACAGTAGACTGCAAACTTTCATTCAGATCCAATCAACAACTGCTGAATTGAACCAAGTCCCCACCTTACTTTTTTCTTTTTCTTTTTCAATAATCCGTTTCACTCGGATGTATGTCACATACAGAAGAAATGATCTGCCGCTATTTCTATTACATTGGGACATTAAATGTACTGGAATATGTAGTTGTGGCTTGTTTTGCTCCATTATCAGAATTAAAAAAGTAAGAATGATGACATTTACATTTAGTCATTAGCAGACGCTTTTATCCAAAGCGACTTACAATTGGGGATACATAAAGCGATTCTTCTTAAAGAGGCAAACAGACACAGGAAGTGGTTGTAATACCAAGTTCTTAGACAGAGACCATTGTAGTGTCCTTGGATATTAGGCTATACAGTTTTGGTGTTGATGAGAGGCTTCTTGCATAACATGAGAGATGCAGAACAATCAGTTGACTCATTTCCTTTTTTTGTTAGGTTTCACAGATTTTGACAGGATTTGAAAAATGAGTAAAATAGGATCACAAACTGTTGAATCTTTTGTGTTTTTGTAAGAACTCTGCCAGGATGTTAAGACCGATATCTCCATTGTAGGGGTCGACCGATTATCGGCGCCGATATTAATCATTTTTATGATTATTGGTATCAGTCATTTTCAAAACCGATTTGCTGATAAAATAACTTAATTTTGAAACGCGCTATTTGGCTCTGATGCAGCCTGTCAGAACTCACCACTCTGGCCTAAAGCCGTCTCCACCCACCGCCCATCTGATTTGTTGGGAGTCACGAGTCAGACCAATCAAAGCGGAATTCACTCTCACTCCGAAAGCGCTTGCTAACTGAAGCTGCTTCGGTGATCACGCATTAGTTGTCTCTCAAAGGTAAGGTAGCAGCAGACTTTGCTTAAGTTGCAATAAATTGCAATCCACTAACGTTACACTGAAGGTGCAAAACACCTCAATATTATCTATGATTTTCGCGATGCGGAAAGCGCTGACGGAATCGCGGAATCCAGTCATATAAATGGAATTTACTGTATGACCCGGAATGTCACGGAATTTGTCAAAGTTTGGATGAATTGATCAAAAGTAGGCCAGTATACTTAAATAGTCACAATATGGACTAGTATCTGTAAATATTAAGCTGCAAAAATACTATTTAAATATGAATCCAGCATGTTCTGCGTGTCTCTGTGTATGTAAATGGCACAGACGAGCGTTTTTGCTTTCTACACAGTGTGCGATGCTCGCGGTGATTTCAGCTTCTGTCGTATCACTACATGAGGACATAAATACATGAACAACACCTCCAGAACTGCTCTGACTCCCTCTAAGAGTCACTTCATGAGCATTTGACTGTTTCATTGGAGTAAAACTATCTTCATATCATTTACATAGACCTACAGAAACAAGTTCCTCATGGCAACCCCTCAAAATATAAGTTCGGGTTAGCTTAAAGAAATTATAAGAAATATATTACTGTGGTGCAGTATGATGTACATAATACTACTCGGGGACTCAGGGATGAAAGTTTTCCGTCGCTACGACAGGTTTCCGTCAATTAGAAAAAATGAGGGGAAAAGAAACATTGCACATTGTTGTTGTTCTGCCGGCACACCAAAAATCATCCCCGCCACGGCTGCAGCTTCTCACTGACAACATAACGCTGCTCGCATCATTCACAGTCGGGTTATTAGCAGAGAACACGGAGCAGGCCTTGAATTTCAGGCACAGGATTGAAATGAGTAATAATTATACTCATTCCCGCAGGTTCCGCACTTATAACGCGATGACAGATGACAGAACGTATCATTTGCACGTGCTTTTGAGTCTTGAGAACTCTCATTTTCTGTGCGCCCACAGATCGCGATAAGGAGAGTGACAGATTTGAATAATTATTAAAGGGGTCATATGATGCGATTTCAATTTTTCCTTTCTCTTTTGAGTGTTACAAGCAGCCCGGGGTCGTCACATGTGGTTGGGCAAGCCTCCTTCGTCAAATCCGCCGGGCGCAGCTTACTCAAGCTGCTGTGTGTTTCGTTGTGAAAGTGAAACTACTTTGTTTGGCCTTTCAAAAGAGGACATAATGTTTCTATAAAGTGGGGCAGTTCCAACTTTGCAAGGACAGTCTGGCGCTTCTGACTCACAGC